GTTTGGAGTTTGACGGCAGTACATGTAGTACCGTATCGCCGCATGATGTGTTGAACAGCAGAGAATCGAGACAGAAAAACAAACAACAGGGTGTAACGTAAGAACAAGCAAGAGGCTCGGCGGCTCTGAGGGTGGGAGGTAGCACGCGACGGTACCTACGGTAGCAGCAGGGTACTATCGATCGGTAGAGCGAGACGTGTTCTGATGTTGCCGTGGCGGTGACGGCATCCCCGTGAACGACTCACCGGAAACTGCTGATTGTGTTTTTTTTTTTTTTTCATCGGTTGCAAAAAGACATGCATGATTGACGGATTGGCAACGCCTAACTAACGAGGGCAATCTATATGCAAACTGATGCGTTTTTGTTTTTGCTCCGAACCAATTCTGATTTCCCCACGAGGTTAGCTTGCAATTGGAACTACGCCATCTTCGCGCCCAACGCGCTGTTTTGGTGGCGATGCTGGTTGTACCCACCGTGGCCGGTTGGTTGCAGCGCTTGAAGGAGGCGGTGAGTGCCGTGGGTGCAAAGTCTATGAGCTTCGGAAAACGGAAAGCACCATACTTACCCCCCTTTCTTGTGCAATTTTAAAAGCTGATAACTCAAGATCGAAAAGGCAAGCACGTCGCGACAACGTTTGTTCGAAAGCTCTCTTCCGTGGCAGCAACTTCATCACGAGACGCTATCTTGACTCGGGGTGCCAACGACATTTGATGGCTCCACCAATCGTGTCAACTGGGGTAGACACCCAGATATCAACGATAATCTGAGTCTTCAGGACTGAGTTGCTCTGCGATCAGCTCATAATTCAATTCGAAGGGTGCAATTTCCTCTCTTCGTACCTTCATCGTCGGCCTTCTCTATCGTTATGTACTTAATGTATACCTCTATTTTTCGGCTTTTCGATTACCGATAGACAGGACTACGGAGTGACATGTCCCTTTCACCCCCGACAGGACCACGCGCTCGCCGAGTGCGGAATTCTTCACCACTTCTTTGCCTCTCCCAACACCGTCCCTTCTTCCCGCCGCTACAAATCCTCTCCCGGACACTCACCACCATCCGTCCTGGATGTTGGCCCCCAGCCCCATTGGGGGGCGAGGGGCCAATCCTTCACCCTAGTAATTCGACAGGGAGCAGCGTCGGTTGAGCGACGATTTCAACCAAAAAATAATTCGTTTTATTTGCTTGAAAAAAGAGGCGTGTTGTCAAACGGTTAAAAACAAGTAGACTTCTGTTGACTAAAGCAGCCCACTGCTACCCCGCTCTCATCCGAATGAAGGCATCGGATGGAGGTCACACCCTTCTAGTTTTGAGCTTGGGAGGTGCTCTAGGGAGCGAAAATCGACTGTGGTGTCGGCAGATTCCTGTGGGCTATAGTTATCACCTTGATTTTCAACCCGCGGCCCTTCAGAATCACCATTCACTGAGTACCACGTTACGATCTTAGGACTAACCTTCCGAACAAGAGCCGTACTGATCCCACCGAACCGAATGATGACACGTGACACTCGAATCTTGAGAATGGCGTGGTACCAGCTTCCCCGTCTTCGTTCGCGATGACAATTTCGGAATCGAGCTCGAGCTTATCCTTCCCCAGGAGTATGAACGTGCGTTGACCCAGCCAACCACCTGGAAAACTCATCACCCTCCCACCCCCCCTCCCCGGCATTGCGTATCTGTAGTATTTTCCAACACTTCCGTGAACGGGGGTTCCTTAGGGCCAGTGTAGGCATCGATGCTGGCCCTGCAGAGAGGGTGGCCATTGGCCTTTTCGACGATTTGAAGGCACAAATCCGGGAGGCAGGGAGTCACATCCGAGGCACGGTCACCGTGGACGGCTTCCTTGAGCATGCGTTGCGCGAAAAGGACGAGCATCCTGCACCGACGTCCACCCGCAACGGGCGCGTTGTCATACTCGTTCCCATTCTCGACGTGGAAAACGCGTTTCTTCATGTTGGTTCGTTGATACAGCGGTTGCATTTGGAATGTAGGGCGTCGGGTGGAATGATGGAGCGAAAAGAGTGCCTTTCCCCATGTAGAGAGAGAGTTCGAGGAGGAACGGGCCTGTGTTGTGGGTTGCGATGTGGAGAATCGCGGCAGAGCGCAAGGTCAAGAGCATCACATTTGGCATGTTTTTTTTTGTCTATTCTAATGAATTTCGTGTAACCGTTTTCGTGTAACCGTTTTCGTGTAACCGGCCGTTACTGCACGGCTATGCATGCCAAAGCAACAGCGATGTGTGTATGTTTTTGTGGCGCGCGCATCGATGCACCAGCACCGGTTCCCCTCTCGCGAACCAGTTATGTAGACAATTTTCTTTCAGGAGAGAGGGAGGTGCCAATAGCGATGCGATTTTAGTTTTGTTGCGCGCTTGTCGCTGAACCGGCGCTGCTCCCCATGCCGTCCAGCAATCCAGTTCTTTCGAAATGAGAAGAGGATCATCACAAAGTTATGTTGGTGCGCGTGTCATTGAGTGAGCGCCGCTGATTCTTATCGTTTTGATAAGCAAGGGAGAGATAGATAGCGGGAATCAATCACCTGTCGATGTGTGTTTTGTTTTATCGTCGAACGATCGCCGCTTTTCCGGTCATGGAGTGAGCCAGTTCTTTGCAATGAACCCTATTATTTATGCTTTGCAATAGCGTTAGCGGAAGCTACCTGTATTTATTCGTTTTCCCGAGCAGCATACAGCGATATCTTGCCTGTGGGCAACAAGGTTCTACAAGACAGATTGGGTGGCCATGCGTCGGACTAAATTTCATGTTGGGAAGGTGTAAGACGAAGATGTTTCGGGATGATGTTGGATTCTTGGGTATGTGGTGTGTTGCACGTTTTTTCTCGCAGTGACATACAGATGTACCATTTTGCCTGCAAACCTTCCTTGGCCAGGCATACGTATTGTTTCCCAGTATCCTACCTGGATCCTGCGTGGTTGGTTGTGCTGTTTGTATGTTCGTACACGCGTTCTTGGAAAGTCGGGTGGACACCGTTGCCAATTTCGATAAATAGTAACAGCGTTGACCGCAACCTCACTTTCACATGAGCAACGTCACGGTGTCAAAGTACAGCAGAGGTGGAGCTCGTGATACAAGCCCCCGTGGTGCGGCAATTTCCGTCACAATAGTTGGATACCACTCGTTCGTGGTATCGCCAACCTCACAGAAGGTATCGGGACCCCTTTGGGAAAATCAACAACACTTGGAACCCGATTGTTTCCGCACCTCCTGTCGATGCATGCAGTGTCACCCATCCGTGCCACACAAGACCTGCCTCCTTATGGTATGCACGCGGTACTCGGGCGCAACCCCGCGCCTGCCTGGCTACGGGTCTACGTAGCGGGCAAACGCCCCGGGCACTGATATTTCTGCATTGTACAGAATATATCTGTGTGGTATGTATGGTGCGGAGAACGGTTGTTCCGTGAGGACACAGGAGTGTATGTGAGGAAAGCATCTCGTAGCGAAAAATAAGAAGGCACGCACGCGGCTTACAGATTTCGCTTGTAGGACAAAGGCACACAGTAGAGCTCTTCGATTAGAGAGAGGCAAGCCGGTGGGGTAAGCGAGATAAACCGTACGTTGCCCTCGAGTGAATGCCTGAACTTATTTGTCCGTGTCGAACACCAAGTTGGGAGAGAACAAGAATGACAAAGTCACTAAATATAGCAAAAAAAAAAAGCAAAAGGGCGGGTGGTGCCATAGGCAAAAGCGGGTCGCCTTCGGGTGGTCTCTAATCCAACACACGTGACAGACCGCTACTTCTTAGCAAAACAAAATTTTCACAGTAGCCGGCTACTGCCACACACACCGGAAGAGGGGTTTTCTGCTGGCAAACTCTACAACCTCACTCACTTGTCAAGTACTGTGCGAAACATGCGTCCTCGACGAACCATCAGAAGATCGATACACCCACCGATTACGCAAGGCTGGACACTATGTAGCTATTATATTGCACGAATCTCGGATCCTGCTTGAATGATACCTCATCGCATGAAATTTGCTCTACAATCCTCGGCCTCGAGGGCAAAACCGCTAAAACAGTACTGCAACGGCCCTGTCACGGTGGCGCGATAAACAAAGCACATAGTGCCAAAATGTACAGTCACTGGTAGCGACTTGATACCATAGAGAACGGGGGGAAAGCTAAGAATTTCCAAATGAAAGTGTTCTTGAGGTGCCTCGGTGCCAATGGAGTAGCAGCAGCGTGGTGCCAAACATCTCCTAGCCACGTGTTACCAGGTCCGGGGAATATCCTATCCCCACTATACTTCGCTCTCTCCCGGAATTATATACCGACGGTTGGGCACGCACACCTTCCGACTAGAAACCAAACCTTTTCACATCCCGCCTGGACAAACGTCTAACGTCTCAACAAACGAATCTACAGAATAACAAACATGCAAAAGTGAAATACAAGTCAGCGAGGTTTCCAGCCGGGCAGATCGTTTTCGGGAAAACACAGCTATAATTTGGCACCAAATTACACACCGCCACTGATCGCACGTCGAACAAGGACGGAAACAGCCGGTACATATACCTGCTCCGTTGCTACGGGCCAGGAACGGCATTACGGAATATGCAAAGCCCAAGGGCAGCTGAAACGTTGAAGGAAGCCAAGAATCATGTAATCGGCATGGGGGGGAATAGCAAACAACCAGGTTTTGTGATACCTGCCACATTTTTGAACCATGAAGCCACACTTACGAACCACCGTTGGGAGCTGCGGTGGTATATGGTTTACTTATTGACAACAATGGACAAAGTTCCCGAACGTTTGAGACTTCTCTACGCGAGTGGCACCTTCTACACATTTTACATCCTTTTGAAAAAATCATCTTCAGCAGTTCTGTCTCGTCTCCCACAACCCGTGGTCAAATCGTCTCTTTCCGTTACCAATACGAGCAGGGGGGGAGGGCAAACACACACCCCTCACTGTTTTCTATGATATCACGTCTGTCGCTACGGTACCGTGTGGGGCACTGCAACGACGCCATCCCTTATCATGACAGATTGTCTCCCACCTTCTTGGCACCCACTAAATTAGACCCCACCAACTTGGACCCCCCTAACTCAGCCCCGTCCTCATCCCGCGAGGTAAATTTCGCGTCTTCGTCCTCGTCGGGGTACACGTCGACGAAAACCATGCGCTGTGGCTTGGTACTCGGTACGGGAAGAACCTGTAGGGCTGGACGAAGGAGAAACGGGAACACAAAACAGGACGGAATGCATGTGTTGGGAGAGGTTGCGAACAAAAAAAGGGCAAGGCGAGCAGCAACAACTTAAGACCCGCCATTGTCAAGACCGACAACAGCGCGGTGCAGCTTAGAGAGAGGCCGTCGCCATCTGTCCACCCCTGAAACGTGAAAAGACAGAAAGCGCCCGACCCAGCCCTTGGTCGCCTCTGAAGACTTTCTGAGCGTGTACCATGCAGAATGAAGGTCATCACGTGCACCTATTTCACCCGCGGGGGAGCGCTACACAATTCGACATGCCTTGCACAAGTGGGCGCAGCCAAACACGGGAATGAACACCGCCCCTGTACGTTGTGGAGTTTTCGGAGAGCGTTGGTTGCAACACGCGGCACAACAAGCGCAGGCCACACACCTTTCGCCTGGGCAGCGGCGATCTCCGCCATCTTGGCTTTCGCTCTTCGCCGTACTGAACACAAGCCTGATCGCAACACGTGCAACGTTTGGCAGAAAGATGCGTTGCTCAAGTTTGACATCAAGCAGTGCGACAGGAATTTATACGATCCAAAGTTGTTTGCAAGCGCGAGGGCGACGAGCTACAAAGGCTAGCCGGTGCCAAACGTGGCACACAGCCGTAGGTCGCACAAAAACGGCAGTCGTCAGGTACCACAAGCAGGTGAAACGTGTGAAACGATGTGACTCGCGCATGCGGAATTTCTTCGATGCGAGCCAAATTTACGATGTTAACAAAACGAAGGTCTGACCATTGCTGGTCATCTCAATGGTGTCTGGGTCGGAATCTTCAGTGGAGCACTGGGAGTACAACATCGAGATTGCCACGAAGCAACTCTGGGATTGTGAACTTCGTTCTACCAGTCGGGTCCCTGTCACCGGCAAGGACATGGGCACGCCCGAGCGATGATGGCATTCGGCAACGAAAAATATCGTCCAGCAGTCACAACGAGGGAGGCTACCGTAGCACCTGGTGGGTTATGCTATTAGTATACCCCAGGGGCGTGCGCGTTTTTCTCTCGCGCGGTCACTCACATAGCGCCAGCAGCGCGAGAAACAGCCCACCCCCAGCAACGATCGTCCCGACGGCCCAGTTTTCGAGCGCCTCCGACGACCCGGACCCGTCAACTGCCTCCGCCGACGCAACGGCGGGGGCCGCGGTAGGTAGCGTGGCATCTCGCGCCGCCGCCGATGGAGATGGCGTTTCTGCGGCCGGGGGAACAGCGGTCGCGGGTGCCGCCGTCGACCCAGGCGTAGGCGACGGCGAAGGCACGGATATTGCGGTGGGCGGAGGCGACGGTGGTATCGTGGGCGGAAGTGACGGAGGTAGCGTGGGCGGGGGCGACGGGGGATAGGTGGGCCCGGCGGTGGGGCTGGAGGTCGGCGCCGACGACGGAGCGTCCGTGCGAGCCACGGTGGTTGCCAGGCGCTCGAACTTCATGGCCACGACGTCCTCGTCGTCCCCGGTCCCGCCCACCCAGGCCGCCGTCGAGAAGCCCCCGAGGAAAAACTCTCCGCTGATGTCGAACTCAACGAACTCCAAGACATCGTCGCCCAAGGTCCCGTCTTGCCATCTGGTGAGCTCGGCTCCAGAGTCCCCGTCGAGGACGACGGCGGCGAAATCGAAGCCGCCCTGGCTTGCCCCTTCGACCCAGTCGCCCTGAGCTCCTCCGGCGCCAACGACCCAGCCGGTGATCGGGTCGGCCGCGATGCTGTTAAGCATTATCCCGTCCCCGCCTGTCCCCCGGTAGGACCACCTCTCCTGTCGAGTCGAAATCGCGTCGAGGGAGGAGGGTGGTGATGAAGATCTAGCCCATGGTTCAAGCAATTCATGAAGACAACAATAATGTGTGTAAGCCATTGGAAATGAGTCATCCTGGAAGGCGTCTGCCCTCTGTACCCTGGCATTATAACACATGCATCAGCATTTTCTCGTAAAGGCAAGCATGCAGAGGTCATCTTGTGCGCAACCCGGGTCGGAGCTCAGTCAGACAGGCGAGGCCGTAGGGCAGTGAGCTAGAGAAAATGTGGATGCAACCTATTAAGAGGGTCACTTCTCCGTGTCTGTTGAGGACGAATCCCTCTTTTCACACTGACGTGACGTGGCAGCGAGATACCTGATTTTAGTGGCGTAAGGTCCGGGTGGGAACCCCGCCACCCTCTACAACAAGCGGTGCCAATCGCAAGAACTGGTGGAAGACCAAAAGAGAAGAGTTTTTTCGAGCTTGCCGACACTCGGATGAAGTGCCGGACGAAGCGCACCCGTGAAAATTTCACAGAAGGTCGAGAAGATGTGAATCGACTCGCAAGATATCCCGCCGGGTTCCGGCCACCCCTAGAAGACATTTTCTAGCAAACAGGAAAGAATCATTAATGAGTGGGGGATAACGCAGAGGTGGTCGTTATGAAGGGTCATATCTCTCCAATTCTGTCGAGAACGGTTCTCCCTTGAGAAATACATAACTCATTTTGTAGCAATCATACAATCCCTACTCACGCCCATGCGCGATCGCCGCCCCCCCCTACATACCACCATTTCCGAGAGGTCCAATTCGACACACGTGAGTGGCGAGGTTTTCAATTTGGTAAATACATCCTGCAGAACAAGCCTTCAATCATGGCCTCTACACCACGGCTCCCCCGCTTTCACAACACATCTGCCAGACGTGGGCAGAGAGAGAGATAGAGAGAGGGAGAGGGAGAGACAAGAGAAAACTCACCACGCCGGACTCCCCGTCAAGCTTGAGAACCACGGCCGTTGTCCCGACCTTTCCTTGGAAGTTTGGGGCGCCCTCGCCTCCAGCGACGTACACGTGGCTCCTGTCGTCCAGGTCCACGGAGTGAAAAACGCCACCGCTAGCCGTAGACGGCGCGTACTCCCACAGCACGGAGCCATCAGACCCGCTCAGCTTTACGACGAGAAAGTTGAGCTCGCTCGCGTCTTCGTTTGCGGCGTAGCCAGCCGCCACCAGATCCCCTGACGAATCCACCTGTCGCGGACGAGTTGGTCGCCGGACCAGGGGGGGAACGAAGGTTGAGGTATCATGCGTGGCATCCCTTTGAGTGCCCAGTTGTGGCGTCTGTACCTGCGGTACCTTGCTCGTTCTCGCGGATATATACCTCTCAGGGGGATTGAAAGAAAGAAAAACGAACCCTTCCGAGTGCTGGTGATACCAATTCGTAGTGTACACGTGGTTGTCATGCAGGCGGTGCTTACATGGCACCCTTCCAAAATGACACATCCAGTGAGCAACAAAAATTGTAAGGTTTGGATTAGAGTGTACGTGCGGCGGGAGAGGAACAATCGTCGGTCTTTCCTCTTCCTCACCTTCGCGCCCAGAAGACCCTCCCGAGTGAACGCGACCCCTCCCTGCACTCTCCACAGTTCGCCCCCCGTCACCCCGTCGAGCTTGATCGCGAAGAAGTCCCAGTCTCCCGGGACGCCCACGCCGTCCACCAAGCTGTTGTACGTCGTCCCAACCAACACCGGGTTGTTGGTGCTGTCTACAGCGACCCCGAGCACGTAGCTAACACCGTACCCTCCGGACGAGGACGTGGACGCCGCGGCTTGGTACCGCCACACCTCTGTACCCGCTTCGCCGTCGAGCTTTACGGCGGCGATGTCTCGAAGACCGTCCAGGTTGGAAGCACCCCATTCGCCATTGGTGAAACCTCCTAGGATCACCTGATAAGGGAACGGGCGAATGGAAAGGTGGAGACGCCGGCGGGGGATCCGGCCACGCGAATTCTCGAGTTTAGCGGGAAGCATAGCCGGTCGCCCCGGTGGTCTAGTTGGTAGCCTCGTAACCTTCTAGAGGTCAGGTCAGGGGTTCGAATCCCGGCGTAGGCGAGCTTTTCTTGCAAAGTGAGTTTTTCTCTCGCTTCCGCTCCTGGCCAAGTGGATAGCGCTAGTTCGTGTGTACACAGAGGGAAGAGAGTGCTGAACTCTTCTCGCATTAAAAATTGAAGGCGAAGTACCGCAGGAGGGGTAGAGAGAGGCTCTTCTGTGTGACCACGGGTTGGAATAAACGGCACTAGTGCTGTGAGCGCTGATTTGAAGTGAAGAACAAAAAAAAAAAAAAAATACTAGCGCTTCAACATTTTTTATGTCTCCGTTGACACACAACAGCACGAGGGTAGTAGGTCACAGGCATTGCCTGGGTTTAGAGCTTGATGGGCGGGCTCTCTCCCTCCCTCCCTCCCTCTCTCTCTCTTACATTGCTCGCGCTATCAGCGCCCGCCGATGTCATCCAATCGGCTCCCTGCAGGGACGAGTCAACCCACGTCCACAGCGTCTCGCCCGAATCCCCGTCCAGCTTGACAGCCGAGAAGTCAGCGCTTGTCGTCGACGTGGCGGTGTCATCGTCGAGGTTGAACGCGAGCCCGTCGCTCTTGCCGCACAAGACGAGGTTTCCGTCCCCACCGACAACGCCGCCAGCGGCGGACTCTTGGGCGGTCGTCCATCCCGCGTACCGCCAGGATTCGGTAAACACCGCTCTCAACACCGTTGAGGTCATTTGCCTGCGGCAACAAAATCGTGACAAACGAAACAATCGAGGGACCGCGAAGAGGGTGTTTACCACAGAAACTTCTGCTGCTGCTCTGTGTGTGCTGGGATCAGGTAACAAAGGCCAGATCTCACAGGGTAAGCAAAACTGCCAGCGACGGCAGCAGCATGTGAGCGACAGAGGCATACAAACCCTCAGTCCCCGTCCCGTACGCAGGGTATCACCCCATGTCATGTGTCCATGTGCTCGTATGCTATCGCGAGACGACAACGCTTCAACAGGGGGGGTTAGGGATGGTAACGTACCGGAATCCTGCATTCCCGATTGGAGGAGCACGACTTGGGTACATTGCACTCCAGGCGGGGCTTAGGATGGGCGAATATTCCAGAAAAAAATTAAAAAAGCGCCACGGAGAAAAAATGCTATTTCGCCCGGGGCCTGTGTGATCAGTGGTCTTTTTGGTCTCGCCCGCGATACGGTACACCAACAAATGACTCTTACGCGCTAATCCCCTAGTGCGTCTGGTGGGATAGCCCTTCGAACGGGTAAAGTAGAAGTATTTCTCGCCGCCTGAAACCAGAGTGAGTGATGCCTGACCTCAGTAGAATGAAACAAACAGTATTTACAACATTCCCGAGCCAACTGGGGTTGGTTGGAAATACATATATATTCGTGGGTTTGGACTGCGCACATTAGACGGACGAAATCTCTCAGGGTACGGGGCAGCAGGAGATTTGGGGAGGGGGGTATCGGCATCGGCGAGGCGGGAGGGTGAAAATCATTCAAACACACGTCGCAGGGGTCGTGGTTTGATCCTCAAATCCTCGGATTTTTCACCTTACTTGCCAACCGCCAACCCCGCGGGAAGAAAAGTCTCGGGGGTATGACGAAACGCCCTCTGGGGTTTTCATACGATCTGAACGTGTTCGAGAGCCGAGAGCTAAATAATGTCAAGAGCGGTGCATTCTTCAATGCCTACGTACGTACATACATTCTGGTGCGATTTCTACCGTAGATCCGTGTGCGTGTGTTACTAATTTTTAGGGTCGACCGCGCTAACCGCGGACCAATGTCTGTGTGTGTGTGTGTCTTTCTTATTGGCATCGACCGCGCTACCCGGTGGGGGGGGGGGGGTACAGTCGACGGTCCTCAATAGCGGTATCGAGACCTCTTGTCACTACCTACCGCTATTGAGGGCACTGCCGCTATTCCTCAATAGCGGTACTATACCGCTATTCCTCATTATTAGCGGTAATGATACCGCTATTGAGGACGAGAGCGGCAACAACGCCGAGCTGTTCCTCAATAGCCGCATCAATACCGTTTTTGAGGATGATAGCGGCAACGAAACCGTATTTTTTCACACACACTACGCTCGTTGGTGTCATGGTACCAACGCCATTGCGTCCAATAATAATACACTCGTAGAGCACCATGTTCATAAATAATACCAGTGGTTACTTTGAGTTAGTGCTGACACCAGATCAGTATTGAATTAGCTCCATCAGAAATCATCACCATCGTGCCGTACTGCTGCACTGTACTGCTGTACTGTACTCTACAACTACGCCCCCACTAGTCGTATCGTAGCAGAGCAACCAACCGTACAGAAAAACTATGATAGAGATGGATTCGTTGTGTCATATTAAGAAGAAAAAAAAATACCACAGCGTTAAATAAATCAGTGGACCACAGGTAGGTGCAAACAGAACCACACACAGCGTACACAAAAAATGTTAAACTAGAGCGAGCAAAAAAAATCCGAACCGAAAAATTCCGACAGATCCGAGTACGGCCGGCGGCGGCGCCATCAACTTCCTACCCCCTGCACTCTCATCAACCTCCTTCCTGTCGTTCTTCAACTCCTCCTTGTCGGATTCGGAGTCCTCAGTAAAGTTTTCATTATCTTCTCATTGAGCGCCGCCTCCGCGTCCGCGGCGAGAGCCTTGACCACATCATCCTGCTCCTCTAGCTGCACCCAAGACTCGACCGCCTCGATGGCTGCCGGGGTGGCGGGCTTACTCGGGACGATGCCGAGGTACGAGAGTACCTCGCACATCTCTGACTCTGGTCCACCACCTCCCCCCACCGCTACCTCCTTCACGCCCGTACTGAGCGCATCGAGTGCAGCCGTGAGCCCCGCCAACCCCCGATTCCTTATCACCTTTGATGCTCGCCTTGGCTTTGTCTTGCATTATTACATTGTCCTTTAAAGCGGTACAATGCAGCTATTATAAAGGATTCATTCCTCAAAAGCGGCACAAGTACCGCTATTATTGAGGGATGCATTCGTGCCAAGCGATTTTGTTGCCGTTATAGAGGGCACCTCGTTATTGAGGACCGTCGACTGTAATGAATGCTGTAATTCCGAGACTTCCACATGTAATGTGGAGGAGCCCCGGCAAACGGCTGCTTGTCCTTGTTCGCTGGAGAGAAAGTGCCCAGACGTCCATTGACCACCAAAAGTGGTGGAACTTGTAGAATGTACTCTAGGCAGAGCTCCTCTGAGCATGTCTCCAATCAAAAAGTGGCTGTACGCAGAATGTCGATCTCCTTCTTGCCTCCTGCGACGTCTCTCTGCATCTCTGCATACATACATACCCGACGAATTAAGGAATAATAAAAACACACACAGAAAGACTACCCATTCGAGATAATATACCCACAGTCGAACGGGATGTGGTGGAGTTTTTTCAGTGCCCGACGAATAAACTCTACCTCTCCCAAGGACAAAACAGCAGCGATCGATGATGATGTGGGAAACAAGTGAACGACATCGAGTTCCTCTATCTACCACATCAGGCAACGTGTAGACAAGATTTCGGCACTTTCTTTTGATAGGGGCGCACGCTCGCGCACAAGGCGTGTTTCCCTGCATGCAACACATCTCAGCGCCTTTCTTTCAGCTGATTCGTACAAGCTTGACTGAGGGAGGAGAAAAACGTCCCCTCGCGGACAGAAACAGTCTCCGGAGAAACAACGGAGACAGACAGCGACGGGCAAGCAAGTGGTTGTGGTGGGCCTCTTCTTGTTGTGTGTAATAAAGGCCGACGGTACAAAATTGAGTTCGGCAAAAATAAATGGTTCCCGCACCCCGCACAACAATTAATCAAATAATTCTGGCAGCAGTAGGTTTTAGCATGTTTGCGCTGTTGCTTGCAGCCATCACCTCTTGCGGCTTTGATTTACGATACGGTCCTGGAGGGTTGCGTTCTCGAATTGTCAGGCGGACCGTATGTAGAAGGTGGTGCGGGAGAGTGTCTGCCGCGGAAACACCACAGGAAAAGTGGCCAGAGGCGTTGCTTGTTCTTGACAAGTTATTATTGCCGAAATACAAAAAAAGTCTACACTTACTTGGAGCTTGTTTGCCGAGAGCTGCGAGACCAAATAATTCTGAACCTAACCCACTCGGCACGTCACCACCGTCTCTTCTACTAAACACTGCTGTAGATAGACTAGTAGTCTACTGCTGCACGATTCTTTGTGAGGAGGAACCGGAGGCTCTGTCGAGTCACATACACACTTGCGTGGTGCCCAGCTTGCCAGTTGGTTGTGATCTCATGTGTGATACGATACGTGGCTGGTTCTTTTTTGCGATTCGCTCCTTGCGCAGGTCCAAAATTCCACTCTTCGCACCTACCTGTGGTTTTCTGTACTCGGCCCCTGACGGGGAGAAGCGCTCCGTTTTCTCACTCTCTTGTTCTGCTACGGGCAACGGCGATGTGGCGCATCCATCTTGTGGGGCAGCGGGGGCACACACACGATTTTTGCGAAATCCCATCAAACGTGCCTGCCAGTGGATCTTTCATGTCAATCCTGTCTAAATATCTAAATAATACCTTCGGTTCTTTTGCGGATTCCGGCGATTTACAGACAAAGCCAGTTCGAGTAGGTAGGAGCTGCTTGCTTGTACGTCGAGTGATGGCCATCATGAAAAAAATAAGTCTGGTTATTATATTGAAGGAGGAGAGGGGACAACCACTACATAGAGAAGGAAACCAACCAGTTGGCACACGAGAGAGAGAGAGAGAGGGAGAGAGAGAGAGAGAGAGAGAGAGAGAGAGAGAGAGAGAGAGAGAGAGAGAGAGAGAGAGAGAGAGAGACAAAGATAGCAAAGCAATAGCTGTGCAGCCGAGCATCTTTGAGCAAATAATAATTGAATAAAATCTCGGTTTGGTGTCATATTAAGAAAAATAAAAAAATAAAATCTCGGTTTGCGGCTTGCTGCGTGCCATACCGCCATACCCCCCATATTTTTCTGCGAAACCCCCTCAAAATGCCCCGTGCCGTCATCGAGTCCTCCCGTTGTCCCTAAATCCCGACGAAATCTCCCGACGGATCTACAGCAATACAGCAGTACACACAGCCCACGCACAGGCAAACCTCGCCAGTGGTGTGTAGGCAGGCAAGGGCATGGGCCTCTTGACGGTGGGCAAGCCTCACAGCTGGGAGCATGCAGGCGAGCACCGCAAGTATGTGGCGAAGCACGGGGTGATCCAATTCCTCAACACGTACAACTCCGTCAAGGATATCACGAATGACGAGCTGCTGTGGGGAGACGAGGTACGCCGCGAGAGGGATGAGTCCTGTACAGCAGTTACCTGGCTTAGCTTGCCCTTGTTATGCTGTGAACACTGGTGCTGCTGGTTGCAAGATTAAGATTCGGTCTGAGGGTGCTGGCTGGTGTAGGCCCGGCGTGTCGGCGAAATGCATGTCACCGTTGTTGCGCAACGACCGTAAACCACCACCTGCTGTTCGTTGAACCACGCACACGTACGTTGTATGCACTCCCGCAGTGTCGCAGCAATTCAGTAGCAGTAGAACTGCTGTGGCAGGCCTGTCCAGCGAGCTCTAGTCACCACAGCTGCCAAGAACTGATGTAGGGGGAAATGGAATCAGCTTCCCCTCGACCAGATGTCCTCCGGTCTGAGATTGACTGCTGCTGTACTTGTATTCAAAGTTCAACTACAGCAGTACTGCTGTCACGCATGCTGCTGCTGTGCTGTACATACCCGTACGCAAGAGTGCGGGCGAATACACGGTGGCCGTGCGGGCGAATACACGGTGGCCCATCGATTGCTCCCGAGAGGCTGGCAATGCCACGGACGCGTGCTAAAGGAAGTTCTGGGCAAAACGTTTCAAAATCGGCCAATTTGGCATTTTTGCCAGCTGCTTCGCCGAACCCCAAGCCGCGTGCGTTCGCCCCCTTTGGATCTACAGCTCTTTTTTTTTTTTGCGGCACAAAAAAAAGGAGCGAGTGCGGGAGAGAGAGACAGCAGTACAGCAGAAAAGCAGAAAGAGACGAGTGTACTTCTGTAGACGCAACAGCTATCTCCACCCATAGGCCATGAGGGCTGCCCGCGACAGGACGGTGGGCACAGACAGGGAGGGTCGTGGAAGGGTTGATGCGTGGTCGCGGTCGGCCGCTAAATTAGGGCAGGCTTGCAGACCTCGAAAAGTTCAGTCGTCAAGCCTCCTTCAATACTCTATTTTCAGTATACTCAAATGATCAGTGAAAATTGTAAGTGAGAGGGCTTGTAGACTTGTACACCCATTGCCATAATATATTGCTGGTGCTTGCTTCTGTACTTCTCTGTCCCCTCCCCAATGTGAGCCCTGCCGGCTCACTACAGCTCCTGTGATTTTCCCACAATTCCCACAAGCACGCAAGCACACCAGCACACACCTACCTTTGCATCAGTGGCTCTCTAGTTTCGGACGAGGGTATGTGTGGGGCTATGATGATAGTGTTGTCTATGTGTGTACAGCAGTCTGCTGTAGTTGGGCTTGTCTATACTGCTTCTTCTGCTGTGTAGCATAGCTGCTGACATTATGACTGCTGGATCTTGGGAGTGTACGATTTTCAGATTGGGAGGATATGCCGCATACCACGATATCCTGGCCTGGTTGGGCTTGAAGTGCCCCTTTTCGCTCTCCTCCTGTCTTTGCGTTAGTGGCTTGCTAGATTCGGGCGAGGGCATGTATGTGGAGCTATTGATGAGTGTCTCTGCAAAGGATACGGGGAGAGATTCATGGTGGCATTCGCATTTATTTAGAGCAGTGTGCATATTTCGAATTTGGCCGTTCCAGGGACCTTGATAATACCCGCTGGCACTGTAACGTATTTTCATTGATCACCGGGTACGTACGCGGTCGATGCGAATAATATAGGAACACCTACCTATTGACTTGCCAACACCTGGCGTGGAGGGACACAGGGCGGCAACTCCATGGCATGCCACAACACCAGCATTGCAAATGATCAATCAAAGATCTGTCAGGACGCCTGTAGACCCAAAAGGGTTAACAAGTTATTCTACAGCGGTTTCCGCAGACACCCACAAGGTACATTTTCTTTTCTTTTTTTGTACTTTGTTGGTTACGCGACTAGCCATGTGAGCGATACGCAGGGTTTTTGTACCAAATAGGCCTCCAGTTTGTATCGCAGGAAGTGCACCAGGAATATATAGCGTGCCTACATGTGCATATCTCGATCCACAGGCTCGCATGTCGAAATTCAGCAGCCATGGTGTTCAGTCCGTACCACTCGAGCAGCAACACCAGTAGTTTAATTACAAGTACCAGGCCGGGTTGCAAGTCCCACAAAAAGGAGAAAAAAAATGACGAAGGGGCTCCGTGAAAATCAATGGTGCCCCGCGCAAGCCCCCATGATGTGTTGCCCTGTGACACCATCTGGTGCACACCTTTGTCACCGCTGGTACTCCCCACACAGATGGCTACGTGCTATGAAATCAGCAGGATACCTCAAGCATGTCATGTTCTACACGCGCAGACATTTGGTTTGCCCTGGTTTTGCTCTAAACCTGGCAAATGCCGTGCTTTCAAAAGTGGAAGAGATGCTGCATCCAAACCCGTTTCGCAGCTGTCAGCACCGAACTTCACGCTGCCATCCACCTGCGAACGAGTTGACGAACTCGCTCGAGACTTCGCCAGAGTGGATAACATAGGCATAGGTAGCATTGAAGGGTTGGCGCAATTTTGGATCGCCACTACGAGGGTCGTTCCGTTGTTCCAGTGAAGCACTCTATCGCCTGTATTGGAGCAAACGCGGCCCGCTGTCTCACTCCAATTTTGTTCGGAATTCTCCCGCAAGATTCCCCGAAAATTGACCTTCAGCGCTTCATACACCTCGAAAAAACGATCCCACCCAGAATTTTGATGGTACCACGCTGTAGAGACATGCCTTAAGGCTGCTTGAAAGGGTTGGCAACATTTGGATCGCCACTTCAGCCGGAGTTGTTGGCAAATAACGGCCTGTCCCATAGGATTTCGGTCGCTGTGGGGGCTCCGCGTGATCGATGCCTTGTCGTAATAAAAAAAAATTGCCTTTTGTGGAGACTTGCAACCCGGGTGAGGCAGTACTCTGCGTACCATTCGAGATATGACCCCCATGATTTACAGTCCTTGCAGTTCAGGGTTTTGGGCCACCTGCTGAATGCTGGATTCATACTGAGTCTGTAGTGTTTACACGGGAGGGCAGTGCAAGAAGAGTTGTAGGAGACTCGATTTTTTACCAACAACGGTGTGCGACGCCCGGGACCCGGGCGCGGACCGTTGTCAGGTTTCAGGTGCTCTACAGCAGTATTAATAGTCTACCTCTGTTGAATGCGCGCGAGAATCCAGGACAGAGCAGCACAGAACGACATGACAAGCTTCGACGGGAAGATATGAAAGATGATTTTCTTAGGACGGGTGGACAGCGTGTAACAGGCTTGGTGGTGTGTATCGCGTGGCTTTTCATGATCTGCTGCCTGCTACCATGATACTGGTACAATAGTAGCGGACAGCAGTGTGTGATGCGCCGTCTCTGCCAAGATGCCTTCTACGTAAATGGCAGTGCAATCCAATCTACGAAGTCACGCGTACGCAGTAATGGCGTGCCCATCACTACACGGCGACGAAAAACAAGAATCAAAACAATGTGATCGAAACTGTTCGGTGAGGTAACTCACAGATTTTTAGTACGACCGCCTACATCGAAGTACGTTGCGCAGCACTGTTAAATGTTTTCCGGACAACCTTTGTTCACGGGCACTGAGACGTGCTCCGGTGGAGCCGCGCAGCACAAGGTTGGTAGAAAGCGACCAAACGAAGGTTTTTCTTGGGTGGGCTTTTGGTGGTTAGCCCTATGATTAGGAGTCTTGCGAAGGGGATTCTCCAACGCTTCATATCGTCTCGACGTTGGAGTCCTGTCGCGGCGGGGGGCTTCTACTGTACATAAGCTCGTTTTCTTGGTCAAGAATGGCATTGAAAGATGACGAACAGGTAGCGCGCAACCAGGACGACATGAAAGAGTACGCAGGAGCACCCCCGTGCGGTCGGCGCGTTGATTCATGCCGTTGTACACATCAGCGGTCCGGTCTGCACTACACCGGTTTCTGCATGGCGCCGTTGTATGAAACGCCCACGTTCGACCTTTTTCGAAGCTGTCGAGGTTGAGGCTGTCACAAGAGCAACGCTGTCATCGGCGTTGACCTGACGATTTACCCCGCACCAGCTTCTTAAGCCGTCGAGCTTGAAGCTGCCACAGGAGCATCGCCAATTGAGTTGGCGATTTACCGTCGCACTGTGTCGTGTGTGAGGGACGAGAATGGGTGCGGCTTTTGAACGCCCCACGCGTGCTGGTACGCCCACGGTTGATGTTGCACGCTTATTGCCGCACGCGGTGCTCGCAGAGGAGACCTAGACAGCTACAGCCGAGTGGGCGCACATGCGTACTGTTTGTCAACTCCGACCTGCTGCTGCTGCTGCTGCTGCTGCTGCTGCTGCTGCTGCTCCTGCTACTGCGTGAATGATTGGGATACCCATCCCATTGGGATACCCATCCCATGAAGGTGGAGTACGGCATCTTCAAGGTCGATCCCGAGGCGAAGACCGTCAAGCTGTCGCTCAGAGGGGCAGAGGTAAGTCGTCGTCTAGCCGCACCGCTAAAACGAGAGGCACGAGTAGCTTTGCTTCAGGAATATGAGGCCGGGCCTGTCTGGCCTGAGCACTGTTTGGCCTGAGCACGGTGTGGGTGTTGATCGGCGCGTGGCCATCGGGAAGGTGGGCATTCCCATCCAAGAGGAAGTGCAGGCGGGAACGTGGAAAGGTTTGTATGTAGTAAAGAGAGACACATTCATCTTTTTGTTTGTGGCCGACGGCAGCTGAAAAACACGGCGCACGACACCCAAAACGCGACAGCACTAACGCCCTGAGTACTCCACGAACTGTTGCCTTCCTCCCCGCGCTTTCTGTGCTTTCTTTTTTTTGTGTGTGTGTGTATTAGATTCTCAAGGAGTTGGACGAGAAGGAGAAGAACTCGCTCCACCGCCTGGAAGGGTGCACGTGGCACCCTGAGTACGGGAGCTGGATGGTCGAGGCGACGCCGAGGGGACCATTCTCGGGCTACGCGGCAGACCTCGTCAGGGTGAGATATCGTTCCTGTCTACCGGTGTTTGTGGGGGGGGGTGCTCGGCAGATTCGTGATCTACGGGGCCTCCGGGGGTTACGCGGTATGATGGGCATGCCGCGTGGGGATCGTCTTGCCTCCCGCGTGTGTCTGTCGGTCGTGAATGGTGAAGGTCTCGAGTCAACCTTCTTTCTCTCTTTCGGTATATGACGAAGCTGCCGCACACAAGCAATGTTCAGCTGGGTTGTTCCGTTTGGATGAAGCTACACCCGAGATTTGGGCCCGACACAGACTTAACAGTTCTTGCCAATATCCAACATTTTTTCCCCCGAACTCACTCATGTGCACACTTCGATGCATCCCTTCGATTGGCGTGTTGGTCTCAAACGGGTTGTATTTCTGTGATATGTAAGAAAAGCGTTTGTAGGAGTGAATCTAGCTAGATACCTCGCCGCTACGCTCGCACGTCGTATCCCAACGCTTCGGGCCCCACCCTTCCTGTTCGATCCCTAACCCCTGACCGGTCCGTAAGGTGGAGCGCAATATGCGCCTCCGCCGCAAGCGTATTCTGAGCGTCCTCCGGCCCGGCGAGGTAGCCCCGACGATGACCTGCTTCCCACTCATGGGGGTGGGCGACTTTGTAGCCTCATCCGCCGTCCCCCCGTCCGCCTCCGACTCGAGCGAGAGACCGTCCTCGAGGTGGCACGTTCGGGGACCTGTGGCGAACTCCGCGTACATCCCTGACGTCGTGATTAACCCGCACCCGCGGTTCGGAGCCCTGACGAAAAACATTCGGGTGAGGGGGTGTAATGAGAGGTACACGCTCATGCCCAGGTCAAACCTTTGTTGTGTTTTGGTTTGAAGAAGGGCGGAAGAGCTGTGTGTACGGGTGCAGTTCGCGCTGTGCGCATCCCCACGGTTTCTTTTTTATCACCCTTGGTCAACTTCGTCATTTTGGTTACAGAGGTTCGTCCTCATGACTTGCAGCTCTACGCCTCTCCCCTCCCCACCCGCTCCTCTCTCCTCCGCCCTTCCCTTGACCTCGAACAATTGCTCTATTTTCTTGTTGAACCAGGCGAGGCGCGGCAACAACGTCGACATCCGCATCCCACTGTTTCGCGACGAGAACACGCCGGAGTTCCATGGCGGAGAGGCGGCTCTTCCCCCCCCCCCAGGTATACTACCGGCATCCTTTCTACCGTACCCGACCGTAGGTCGCGTGCGATACCACACCTCCTGGACCGTTTTGTAAAGGATCGATTTCTCCACGACGAAGAGGATGCCACCGAGTAGTCAGGTCCTGCATTACCGGAAAGGTCTAGGATGAGACGGTTCCAATGCAGACATCTCTGGCACCGTCATTGCGGCGTAGTTGAAATCGGTCCTGGGGGTGTGGTATCTTACGCAACCCACCGTACATGTAGCGGTACATTTTTTTACTTTGCGCCAGACAACGACGTGGCGGGGCATTCATTGAGCGCTCGGTTCGATGGTTCAAGGTGGTGGATTTAGTGGCGCCTCACCTCGAGTCATCCCTTGCCGGGTTTCTCGTGTCCAGGGGCTTCAACCCAGCGCCAAAGTAGCGGAGGGCAAGGCCGTGGGATAGAGGCAAACCCCCGCAAACGATTAGATACCTCTTCGTACAGAGACGGGGTCAATTTTTGCTTTCTCTCGCCGTGCGTTGCTAGCCTTGAGACGATGCACGTTGCTCCCGTTCTCCTTTTCCAGGCGCTGCCCCCCCCGCGGCGTGCCCCATCAACCCCACCCAAGGGCTAGAAAAGGCGCACGGTCCCCATGTGCACATGGATGCCATGGCCTTCGGCATGGGCTGCTGCTGTCTGCAGGTTACCTTTCAGGTGTGGATGGGGGGGGTCCCTGCTTACGTGTCATCGGGCCGGGGGGAAAGCCGCTGCTGCAGCAATGCTGTGATGCAGCGATGATACCATCCTGTGCTTGCGAACATTAACACATACGCGTGGTGGGATGCACGATAGCATTGGTGTGCTGCTCCTCATGCGCGCTTTTCCAGGTACCCGGGTGAAATGTCGTTGTAGGTACGCCAGTGTTGTTGCCTTTGTCGGGCTGTTGTGTTGAAGCGTTTCTGCATGGTATTCAAGAATCGTGAGGTTTGGGTGGGCGGGGTTTGACACGGTCTACTCTAGCCAAGGCGCGGCACGTGCACATGTTGTTCTGGAGGGTAACCACTCAAGACCGCCCTTTTAACCGACCGGTTGAACCTGGCGGCGTACCCGGTTCTGCACTTGCAAGCATCTCGGTAGCCCCTGGATGCTTCCACTTTGGATGCCATCTGCTGTGTGCCTACAGTAGGTGTCCGATTATAGTGCCGGTCAAACCTCGAGGCATGAATGTCAACTCCTATACTAAAACCTAGTTGTCCCTGTTCTGAGGAGCGCTGGCGTTCGGTCTAGTGCCGGTCAAACCTCTGGGTACTGCTATAACCGGGACACCGACTGTACTGTTCAGCGCGAGCAAAACCCCCTTCGTTCTCACCACCGGGACCTCACAGCGTTTCTCCCCTCTGCGCTCCCCCGCTCCCCGCCAGGCTCGAGACGTAGACGAGTCACGGTACATGTACGACCAGCTTGCGGTGCTGAGCCCGGTGATGCTGGCTCTCACCGCGGCGACGCCGATCCTGAAGGGCCGCCTGGTGGACACGGACGTGAGATGGGACACCATCGCGACCTCCGTGGATGACCGCACGCCTGCCGAGCGGGGCTTGCTCGACGCCGACCCGGTGCGTGCTTTCGATTCGGCGTCTCGTGGAGGCAATCTATGCGGCAAACAGCGTTTCAAACGTTTGGTGTTTAGCGTGGCTTCTGCATCACGTTTTTGTGATTAACAGGGAACACCCACAGCTTCTTCCGTTTTACTTTAGGAAAAGAAAAAAACTCATCTCTACCCATGGAAACGAGGAGAAACCTAGCGACGACTGCAGGTTTGTGTGGCTTCCGCATCACCACGTGCATGTATACCAACAAAACTACGGCCGCAGTCGGGTGATACGCTGTGACCGCACCTGCAACTCTTTCGCTTCACACGCCGTGTCTGCGTCTATCACGGCTGTGTGAATCCCCGGTTGGTGCATCTCAGGCGGCCAAGGAGGCGGCCAGGGACCCTAGTATGGTCGGTGACGGCGTGGCCCGGCTGTACAAGAGCCGGTACGACAGCATCTCCAGCTACCTGCACTACTGCAAGAGGAGGGAAGAGAACCCCATGCACGTGCTCGAGGTGATGTGGCAACCATATACCAATCCAATGCCTGCTTCCTTTTTAATAATGTTCGCTATCAGTGGTAGTCTGGACCTGAAGCACAGGCAGGAACAAGAATAGCAAAGGGTACAATTTCGACGAAAGAAAGTGTTTTTTTTGTCGTAGAACAACGCTCGCCCTGCATGGCTAACTTTGTGTCGCCGTCACCTCCGTGATGATTGATTCTGTTAAACAAGGGGGCGGTGAACGACGTGCATCGCTGCAACCGTTTTGTGTCCAATGTGCGTTGGCAGAGCACCGACCATGCCGGGAAGGCAAAGAGTTCACTACAAGTACACGTCTCCCGGTGGTGTGTCTGGGTCTTGACAGATGGATCGCTTCGCATTGTGGTCGGGATTAGATGAAGCGCCCGGCTTGTTTAGTGCACCAACTGCTGTCTCCCGCAGAATTCGATGTGAAACAGTAGCGTCCCCGAAGGTCTCGTCACTACCAGTGCCGCCTGACACGGAGAAAGGTGGACGTGGACGACGGACTGCTGTGTTCCGTGCCTTCGACGGCCGCACGCCGCCGTTCGACGCTCCTCCTGATTGCGTTTCACTGCACTGTGTCTCGGTGGTGGTCGCAGACGTACAACGACATCCCGTGCGAGGTCGACAAGGGAGCCGAGAGCTTCCTCGTGGAGAACGGAGTGGACCGAGCCCTCGCCTTTCACGTCGCTCACCTCTTCGCAAGGTGATGAATGAACCGGGTGTCTTTCTTCGGTTGTTCCCCGAGGGCAGCTCAGAAAAGACTGTGTGCTCCTTTGCTATCATAGCTGTTGAACGCGCGATGCTGCCGCGGTTGCTTGTGCGGTGGCATCGATCGTGGGCACCCCGGCCGTTTGCCTTGTTGGATACCACAGGACTAGAGTCGGCGGCTTTCAGCGCGAGCGAAAAGACGCGGTTGCTTGTGTGTGGTGGCATCGATCGTGGGAACCGCGGCCGTTTGCGTTGTTTGCTACAGAACCAGACTCTGCCGTCAGCAACACGACTTGACCGACTTACTTGTCTGTCGCTTTCGCTCGCAACAACAGCGTGGGGGGGGAGCATCAGATATTACCGTTCAACATAACGGCCGACCCTAAAGGATCTTGTTCTGGCAGAGCTTTTCGTGGGGCACCAGGTTGTCACGGGGCCCCTATGATATATCGTTTCGCGGCATTGATAAATAGTCAGGCTTGACTGTTGTCCCCTCCGGCATGGCATGGAGGCTCCTTGCCTGGTACACCGGGGAGATGACGGTCAAGAGTAATGTGAATGAAAAATTGCCATCTTTTTGCGGGGTGTCGTCGTCGTGGTGTGTGCCGCCGTGCAGGGATCCTCTGGTGATCTTCGACGGCGCGGTGGAGGAGGTGGACGACACGACGGCCACGGAGCACTTCGAGAACATACAGTCCACCAACTGGCAGACCGTGCGCTGGAAGCCGCCCCCGCCCAGAGAGAACGAGGACTCCCCAAGAATCGGTTGGAGGTATATTATACATCGGCCTTCGGGTCATCGGATGAGTGGTGGTTGAGGAGGCTTGCCGTTGTTGTTGCAGTGTTGACTGGGAAAAGAAATACTCCCCAAGAATTCGGCTGGAGGCTTGCTGCTGCTGTTGTTGTTGTTGTTGTTGTTGTTGTTGTTGCCATCTTGACTTTCTGGACTTGGGATCATCGGATCAGTGATGCCGGGTTGGGAAGGCGTGCCGTTGTTGTTGTTGTTGTTGTTGTTGTTGTTGTTGTGATCTTGAGGCTTGCCGTTGTTGTTGTCACCGTCTTGACTTTGAAAAAATCGTCCCTACCCCCCTGTCCATCAACTCCGGTGTCATGTCCTCCAAGGCAATGATTCCGTGGCCACGAGGACTTGGGGGCCAAATTGAGGTTGGAAGTACGGGTTTAAAAAAGGAGCCTGGGAGGGAGTAGTAGTCAGCACACGAAAACGCCCAAATCTCCGTCAGACACGACGGCTGTACCCACCACTGTGAAAAAAACAAAAGTACAACCAACGATAAGGGAGGGTGCATGGTGGGGTCTTCCTGAAACACGGCATCCCACAGACGAATGTGTGCTACAACAACGACGTCTTTGGGTTGACGAATCGGGCCGACTCCGCCAATCAAAAGTCGAACCGCACTTCTTGCGGCCGCGTGCGTGCAGGACGGAGTTCCGGTCCATGGAGATGCAGACCACCGACGCGGAGAACGCGGCGTTCACGGTGTTCGTGGTGCTGGTGACGAGGGTCATCCTGGCGTTCGACCTCAACCTCTACATCCCTCTGAGCAAGGTGGACGATAACATGAAGAGGGCGCACAGCAGGGACGGCGTGCACCAGCACAAGGCGAGGCGTAGCTGATTTGATCACCAGTCGGGGTTTTAGGCCGTGCTGCGTATCAGCGCATACGAGGCGGGTGGCGTGTAGTAAGCAGTAGCTGTGTGTGTGTGTGTGTGTGTGTGTGTGTGTGTGTTTCTCTCTATCGGACTAAATAGGCGTGAGATGTATGGAGGGGGTGTCGACAGAGGACGTGTTGTATGTCTTTTGACAATCCGCGCCGGATATCAGACCTGTTGGTTTCGAACCTGGCGGTGACGTGTTAACATCTCTTGAGAGAACCACCTCTTCGTCTAGACGCGAGGGCCTCGTGACTTCATTGTGTACCTCGTCCGCTGGTTCGGTTCCGACCGACTTTCCCTACAGTTCTGGTGGCGAATGCACATGGCCCCTCCCGACAACGCTAAAGCGGCGGCGGCGAACCACAGCGGTGCCGGCGAAGAAAACGGCCACGGCAAGGGCGATGATAGCGGCACCGGTGCACCAATGTCACACCCCTGTGAAGAAAGCCACGGTGGCGACGGTGGCACCTCTTCTGCCGTCGATCAAGAACACAAGGCGTGCGACGTACACGCGCAAGGTGTGAGATTTCTGAGATTTTCTGTCCGTCCTGGATGGACCGTCAAATTGCTGCTCTGTTCTCCCTCGCACTCACCCTCGTGTCCATTTTTTCTCTTGGCTTTTTTTTGTTGCGTTTACTCGGGGTGTTGTTGCCCCCTTCTTCCCCTCACTCGTAGTTTTTAACCTTTGGTTCACATTTTGGTTCATCTTTTGGTTCTTAGGGCACGAGGAGATGACGATTGAGGAGATCATGCTGGGGAAGGGCGACTACTACCCTGGCCTCGTCCCCCTTGTCTACGCCTACCTGGGACACATCGGGTGTGATGCTGCGACGATGGATACGGTCGATCAGGTGCGGCATCTCCACTTTGTTGAAGAGCTGCAGCTCAGCAGTTGCTGCTTTGACATATATCTCACTCCTATGTACGGCGTTTCTTTTTGTGTGAGGTTTGTGACGGACTTGCTTGGGAAACCTGTTGCTCCGGGTTCATGAGCAGGAGATGGGAGAGATGGTATCGATAGAAATGTTGTTGGACAGCAAGCCGTAGTGTTTCACCACTTGGCTGGCTCCACGCCTCGCCGTGTACCTACAGTACGTGGGTGCGATGTTCGTAGCGCGACGGTGTTGTCCTTCCGTCGGCCTACGTGTTTCCGAACACGCCCCAAAGCCTCCTGCCGTTTCAAGCTACAAAACGATCCTCTCTCGACTGCACCCTGCCGTAACGTCCTAGGTTGTTTGTGCCCGCGCGCCTTAGTTCCCTCCTCTCTCCAGTAACGGTAAGGGACGATTGGCCATCTGGGATCGGTCCTGTGGAAGCAATGCTCCGTCCTCTCGAGGACGCGTGGTCAATGGTCAAACCGCTTATGCATGCAAAACATAAGAGTACACCTCCCCCCCCCCCCGTGCCAGTGCCCTTTTTTCTTTCTTTCTATTTTGACTCCCCTCCCTTTACGCATGCTGCCGCAGTACATGATCCTGATTTGCAAGCGCGCCAGCGGAGAGCTCAAGACGTCCGCGTCCTGGATCCGCGACTTCGTACACGAGCACCCGGCGTACAAGCAGGACTCGGTCGTGTCAGAGGAGATCGCACACGACCTTGTCATGGAGCTGAGAGCAATTGGGGAGGTGGGGGCTTACCTTGTCCTTTTGTCTTTTCCCGCGTGGGCCTCTGTTCGTGATTTTGATGGGGAAGACTTGCTTGACCTCAAAGCCCTACAGCGTTACGGCGTTATTTTCCTGATAGTGATGGAAGACCTGCTTGACGCCAAGCCGTAGCCCTACCGCCTCTCGTCTTCTCTCTGTCTCTAGCCCGATTGTCTGTAGCCTCACAACATCTCGTCATGAGAAAATGTCCGGGCTGTTTCATTCCAGAAGTTTCATGTTTGACAGCCGTTGACCGCGCATCCCCCTTCGCAGCCCACGATTACCCCGGTCACACGTTTGCCACACGTTTGCCACACTGCCGCACAACATCGTTGTAAACCCTGAAAGCAGTGTCCCTGATGGTTGTGTCCCTGACCTGCCTCTAAAGGTTGTCTTGCCCGTGGTTGTGCCCCTGCCGGTCGCTCTGTCTATGTTTTGCCGTCTTTCGGTGCAGGGAGAGAAGCACGCACCGTCGCTGCTTGGCGGTTTGCACATCAGTCCGATCAGACCCAAGCAGGCCTACGACGTGCCGCTTTCCTCCACCAAGGTGTCGGGCTCCTGCCTGGCGTTCCTCGTCAAGAAGTACACGTGAGTTCAGTCGCTGTGTATCCGCGCTGGGGTTTCGCGCGCTGCCCGCCACGCGATTTCGACCTCGTGCTGGGAAGAGAACGAACGCTTGAGATAGATTCCCACAAACCGTTGGTGCTGCAGGGTGTGCACGCTTTGTCCCTTCTGAACACTCCGTTCCGCAAGGACCCAAATCGGAGGTGTATGTTCCCTCTTTAGTCGATACCATGTGAAGGGTTTTACTGCCATGTGAAGGGATTTACTGGCTGGTATTAATAGCGTATACCTTCACGGCCCAACACTGCTGTGCCGGTCCGTGAGAAGGGAATTCCGCGCGTGGTTTTTTACTGGCCTCTGTGGCGTGTTGCCGCTCAAGCTGTCATGCATTTGTTTACCTCGGGGCGACTTGTTCATGAAGGGCTTGCTGAATACCTTTACGAGGTGTACTAAATACGTCGTGGCGTGCTCTTCTTGTGAAGTCCTTTAACCCCTTTACAGTTCCCGTCCCCTTGAGGCTTTCGACCCCTTTGCGATGCCGTCGAACTGCTGTCGCAACAGCATGAGGGACCGGTGGACCGAGCGCGACCGACAGCTCAACGCCACGCTGACCGAGAAAACCACCCAGACTCCGCCCTCTACCCCCGAATCGATGCCTCGAGGAGACAGCACTACCAGCTCCTCGAGCGCCGCCTCGCAAGTAGGCCCGCTGATATCCTTGTCTGGCTCGGGAGACCCCACCGCCGGGGCCGCCGCGGCCGGCGTCAAAGGCGGCGGCGGCGGCGGCGGCGGCAAGCTCGATTCCCCCGGGCTGCGAGCGACTCGCGAGACCTCCATGTCGTACTACTGAGGAATTTTCTTCGGTGGGTGGGTGGGTGAATATCGCTCCGGTTTTTGATCTGTTTACGAACAAAGCGTCGAGGTATCCTCGCATCCCGTGGTGGATGGTCGAGTTCGTGGACAAAAAAAGTCCCAGCAATCTCATGCCGGTAAGAGTTGGAAAACGCGTGTCCGTGAGTGTAAATTTCTTGGAGGTTATCTGATGTGAGGGCAAGACTACTGCTGTCGTTGAAGCCCTTCTCGAGATAACGACATGGGTACGTATACCCCCGCGAGAGGGAACCTTCTGCGTGCCCCCCGGATCGTAGCTGTCTCAGTGGAGAACGTACCCTAGGCACATTCGGCCAGAGCAGCAGAAGAGTTAGATGGCATAAAGTCCCCTCAGTTTTCTTATTGTTTGTGGGCGTTGCTTGTGGTGTGGGGCGTGGTTTTCCCGCTGGGGGAGGGGATTCCGCTTCCTCCGTTTTGTGGCGCGGGGGGGGGGGCGGGCGGTTGGACTTGTTGCATAACAGACGTAAATTTGCGGTGCCGATGGCGAGTAGAATGGTTTGGAGCTGGAAGCACCACAACCATGGTGGTTCGCGTTCTCCTAACGAGCGGACAGCCAAACGTCGCACCATAGATGTTTAGTAGGAGTAGTCCACATATGCCGTGTCTCCCCATGTCATGCATGCAACACTTGAAGGTCGTTCCGGGGTCACGGCAATACGTTTGGTCGCTAGGGTGCTAAATAGCGTGTTGTTTTGCCCGTGGGAGGGGCAACTGCACGGCCATGAGAATAATTTACCTCGCCTCGTTAGCGCGGTAGAGCCTTGTGGCACCCTTGGTATCCTCTGCATCGGTACTTTGCCACCCTTTTGGGTGCAAAATCAACCAATCTTGGTGCGAATCCCCTGGGCTACTCGGTTGGAGATGAAAAACGTAATGCCGGCATATGTCCAAAGGAGGTGTCGAATACTCCATGGTCTAGAGCAGGAGCACCCACGACTTCTATAGGCGGCCCGACGGGGATGACTTGGTGTTTCCGTGTCAACAATTTTTTCCGCGGTCGCTTTATACATGTGCGGAACAGGAGGTGATTGGTTGAACGGATGAAATCATATTTGTATTTTATTGATGAGGTTCGCGTTGGATTGAGTACCAAGATGTTGGAAATGACATGACAGAGAGTGACAAGTTCGCGCAAACGATGTGGCGATGCGCTCTCAGGGGCTACAGGGGGTAACAGGGACGGCTTGCTGCTTAATCTCCTACGTGGTGCTCCTTGCGTGGTTCGACATGATACATTTTCGGGACATAGGCCTCGAAATACTGGTCGGGATCTTGGAAAATAGTACCAAGGAAATAGTTTATTCAGTTGACGCGGTTGAAACGCTGGATACGATCTTGTACGTGGGGGACAGGAAGCCAGATTTTGTTGTTTGTTTTTGCCGGAGTGAACGGGGGCTCGGCCTACAATTGACGTAGGCGCCGTGGTGGTGTGAGTTGCGGAGCTCTTGTTCATGATGGGGTGGGGTTAGCGGTGACCGTCATCGATATGGCCTCTAGATTGCCTGACGTTTTCTTGCGTATGCACGGCTGCCTTCCAGGGCAGCGTTTAAGGACGAGGCAAATCTCAACCATTGAGTGTTGACTTGTCTGGGGAGAGACAATTTGAAAAGGATCAACCGGGTCGCGGGAGGCGTTGAACGTTTCAATGGCGCTTAGAACTGCTCCTGCGGTGCCCATCATGAAAATGTTGGGTTGTTGGTGGCGTCGGACTGTAGGCCCAACAACCTCGTTTCTTTGTGCAAAGTCGTTAGTAGACTAAGTATGGGAGACATGGGTGCTTTTGATAATACATGCTTGAATTGCTGACGGCTTCTAGTGAAGAGTTCATCTCAAATGCCAGCGATGATGTCGTGATGATGTTACCGCTCGCGAGACTGCTGGTACTCGAGAAGAAAGCGCCCGAGGGAGGGCGGCTGATGCTGTTGAGCCAGTTTCGCTTTACTTCACAAAATCAAGGCAATACAGTGGTATTCTCGGGTAAATACATGTAGTCTGCTGTGTGGATCCCCGCAGCTCTTGCTGGGGAAAGAGAAGGAAGGCCTGTGTCGGTGGGGTATTTTGTAGGAAGGACATCGAGAGCGGCGGCGGGTAAACGTAAACATCCACTTTATTTCTATTTTATTATTTGTCCATCTAGATGGCTAGTGTAGTGTTGCGTCGATCACAATCAATGAGAGTTCTGTGGAAGTATTTTGAGAAAGGGCATTTGTTTTACTAGTCGATATGTGTGGCCGGAAGACTAACAGAAGTTCAACTTGTCCTACACGCGTGAACACCGTAGGCGACATGACACAAGATACCACACTCCCCGGACCGACTTTCAAAGCTCGATTACTCCACAGCAGCAACAGCAGCGGTGCCGCCAATGGCGGCGTTGGAACTGCCTCGTCGAGGGCTTTCGGTGAACGTGTCACTTGATTTTTTACACCCTGTTCATCGAGGAGTGTTGAAAATCGGTCGAGGGTGTGTGTATCCTGTGTCATCGAAGGTTACAGCAGTCTATGCATGCGCGCATTACAGTCTAGATTAAAAAAAAAAAGAGCAAGTCGTTGCTGCGAATCTCGATCCGAGCGAGGTACGACGCGCAGTTGTTCTTCCCCCGTCGAGCTGATAACTCGATGCATACACGTGTAGGCATCGGACAACAACAAGTGTCGGGGTCGGCCAATTGACACGAAACGTGACGGCTCTCGGCTCGTTGTGTTCTGCGGCTGTGCCGGGCATTTTCTGTCAATTTTCTTCGTTGTTTGCACCATAAAAAATACATATCGGCAGACTCTTCAGCAGTAGACTAGACTATATCTTCGATGCATGGGAACATGCCCGCAGTTTTTTCTCTCTCTCACCACCCCACACACCTTCGATAGATCTTAGCACCTATCTCGCCTCTGGTAGCAAGTACAACGTTGTGCCCGTTCGCTACCTAGGTTACGCGTGTACGTATCATATGTCATCGTATGCACTTCCATTCGTCCACCATCTACCCGGTCATCCGTTGCTACTGCTGTCGTACCGTTCATTTCGGGGTTCGCGGTTATTTCGGTTCCAGATTTGTTTGAAACCGTTACCGTTTACACCCTCAGCGCCACTCAGCAGCAGCAACAACATCGTAGACTTTGGCTGTGCGTTCTGCGAGGCTCCGTATAGAACTACTGCTGTAGATCATGAGATAACTTAGGCCGGCTGCTGTTGTTTCTCTCGGGCTCTGTCCACGGGAAAGAGAATAACGATTGTGTCGGTTCGGAGTGTCCCTGTCCTGATCGTCACTTTATTTCACGAATCATTTACGAATCATTTTCTGTTCCTCCTCGGGGTAAGATACACGGAACCGGGGCGCTTATTCAACGTCATTGTGTCGCCGCGCACCTGTCACACCCCGTTGCCTTGGTGTACATATTCCCTCTGCCCTCTCTCATCAGTGACTCGCCTTCACAAAAGCACACGCCGCGAAAGTTCTGCACTACTCCCTCGTGGCACGAGAGGGGACCATTGAAAGCAACAGGAGGCGTTGCACTGCGCTGGTGTGCGACGGCTGTAACTCGAGAAGGGGCTGTAAAACTCCGTGCCTAAAATTCCGTGGTATTCCTTCTCCTATCATACCTTACGGAGGTGAGAAACATACGCAGCCCGCGCTATGCTACGTTTCGTATGCTGCCATTCCCAAGTGGTTTTAAACCTTTTCGTGGAGTTGGTTTGGTTGGTCGTCTCCGGACGGTGTGTGTGTCGTGCATCCGTTGCGTTTGCCGGCATATGTTGCGTATTGTTCTGCAACTCTGACGGCTATACCGTTCACTCCAGGAAAGGATAAACGAACTCCAGGAAAGGATAAACGTTCATCATCCTTATTCTTTCGTGGCCCATGAAGATGAAGCTAGCGTCGCCTGAACGTGTGGAGTACATATGTATACTGTAGTACAGAGGGTTTCATCGGCCTCTTCGAGCCACGGGTGTCTACCCTGCTGCCCACCGAGTAGACTATGGTTAAGTCTTTCTGTTGCTGACTTGCCTTCTCAACGGCACAACAAGATTCCGTCTTCACGGCCTTTCTATGCGTACGTACCGTGTGTGTAGCCTCGCCGTCTCCATGTTTGCATAAGTTTTCAACTGCCCGCATTGCCGCTAAACATGAAAGTACAAAATGCGAAGTACCAAATACCACACATATATAAATGTGGCGTAAACCCGCGTCACACGCGGGCGGGCGTGCTGCGTAGGAGGATATCAAAAGAGCCGTCAGTCGTAAGTAGACTGCTGTAATCTATACACAAACCCCATTGCCTCATCAACCATTTGCGTCAACAGGTAGTCTCTTTTCTGGATAGTCTATTTTCTAAAAACCCTGACCGCTCAGGCACGCTAAAGGCGTGCCCCCCGGGCAAACGCAGCGAGGCCCGCCGCAAGCGAAAAATTTTGGGGTCAGGCAAAATCTAAGGCATTTGCCTGAGAGGGCCGATTCGTTGCCTGAGATGCCTGATTTTTGTCCTGGGCCTTTGCCTAAGAACGAAACCTACTAATTTCAAGTAACATTTTTTCAAGAATAGAGACGGGTCATACGGGGGTGATCATCGTGGCTCCTCTCCGTGTGTAGTTTAGAGCTGCTGTAGGAGCAATCAGGCAAAAAACACCGCCTCAGGCAAACATCTCATAGAAACGCCCTCTCAGGCAACACGTCAAGCATGCCCGATCGGTCAGGGTTTATAATACGGTATTTTCTCAAGTATTTTCCAAGAACCTCATCGCCAAACCATTCGTTCACAAGAAGACAGTCTCGCCTACAGCCTCAAAACGTCTGCACCCGCCATTTGCGTTTGTCGCCCCGTGCTTGCGATGCGACCGTCGGATCGCAGGCTCCCATCGTTCTTCACGCTTGGCGGTGAAAAAAAAACACCCAGAAGATGTGGAGTGCTTCCCTAGGGCCGGTGACGGTCTCCATCGGGACCATCTGCATCGCAGTTGTCGCGATAATGTTCTTCTGCTGTTTGTGCTGCCTCCTCAGCCCGACGTACAGGAATGTGAGGGCAGGGAAATCCGTTCCTTTTGGCGGGCAGAAGTTTGACCCGACCGCAGAGGGAACCATTTGGCCAAGCAGGCGAGGGCAAAGGGCAAAAATCGACATCCCTTCTGCTGTATGACATCTCTAAAAGTCTCTCTTTTTTTAAGGAAACAGCCAGCGTTTGTGCGTGCCGGTCGTGTCGGGTTGGATTTTCTCTCGGGAGAGTTACTCCATCTCGTAACGATGTCTGCGTCCGTTGTAGTGGATAGTGCGCGGACGAATCATGTGTTTCTTTTTGTGCGGTGGTCGTGGTGCATGCCGTACTGCTAAATGCATGCACCCGACAATTGCAGGTCATCCATGTGTACGTGTTGTAGTACTCTAGCTGCTCGGTCCGAGAAGGCATCGATGCAACAAGAAACATCAACAAGTTCCATTGTGCACCGCCGCATTCGTGTATGAATACTTGTTCGGTGTTGTCGGTGTTTTGAGATGCCTTCATGCACGTAACCCCCGACTTTTGAAATCCGGCCAAGTATTGCCGACGTTGATTGGCCAGGGTTCATTCGAACGTTGGGACCAAACAGCAGTTGATCGTGCCTTGGAGAGCGTTGTGATTGAATGCACATTTGTTGAATGAAACCGCCGTATTTGTTATGGCAAGTAGAGGTCATTTGGGTGGAGGACTACACACTGCGTTTGGTAACATTCGCGTGCGGCCAGACTGGGGCATGTGTTGGCTTCACCACCGGGTGTTTAGCCGGTAGATATTGTCGCTGCTTTCGGGTACCCGTTCCCATTTTTGTTGCCTACAGGAGACTAGATGTGCTCTGGTGGATTCTGTATAAAACGATGGCACGTTATCTCTCGATGGATCTTGCGTAGGGTATATACGTGGCCATCGCTGTAGCGCCAACGGCAATATGCTTGTTGTCTTGTGTTGGGCGCCTTGTCGCGCGTTCTTTTTGTTTCCGACGCAGGGCAGCTCAGGTGGTTTTCGTTCTTTGAATTGTCCCACTGTTGCGACCGACGTTTCTTTTACGTGTTCCGTTGACTGTTTGTTTTCTGTGTTTGTGGCTCTATCACTAGCATCGACCGTATGCGTGTGTGCTAGAACCGCCGAGAATGCGTTCTTGGGGAGGGGGTCAAGTCGTACCATTCCTCGGATGTGGTTGAGACAAAAGCATGGCCTAAGGGGTTGATTGCCTCAGCCCAATCACACCTAAACAACTTTTGGTTGCTATGTTGCCCCCCATCGTTTCGGTCTGACTCGAGGACTCCACGGCATCAACCGAGGGCAACATGAGGGGGGGCACAGGCTCTACAAGCATTAACAAAGCCAACCCCAAATGTGGCCCATCCAAACATATTTTGCACAACCGAGGTTGCCAGCATCGGACGTGCAGTACCGGTAGCATACGGACACCGACCGGCGCAGCGATAGGCGGCAGTTCCCACTGTGTTCTCACGCGTTGTTTTGCGGAGGGTATAGGCAGTGCGGAAGTAACTGCAGTTTCCGTTCTCTCGGAAAGGGCAAAAAATACTTCAGAATCTCCCCTGCCAAGCACGCTTCCCCGACGAACGATTTTCATGTGTTCGCTATCCTCTGTGCAAGCACAGCCTTCGTATCCAGTCCCCACGTGCCAGATCGTACCAGCTCCCTTTGATAGGAACGTTTTCAACCATGCCAAAACATACACACTACGTCGACTCTCTCGTATCCTGGACTCTATCGCAAGTAACACGTTTATCTTGGGCACGCAAGCGCCATATCGGCCTACACCCCTGGGTGCCTTCTTCACACATACCATCGGCTTGGTAACCTCCGTGAAACAGGTCTTGCGCTCGTGACGACACAAAGTAGATGATCTGAACCAAGCACCCACAATTATCGGCCTTTTTATCCAAGACATTCTCGAAAAACTGAAACCAAACCAATCATTCGGAAGCAATTCCATCCTCTGGCGTGCGTACCACGATTGTAGGAAGACTACAACACGCTTGACATGCCTTGTACGACTATCCATATACCGCGGGCATTTTTCGCACGTGAAGACATCGGCACGTGCAAAAGGGTGAGCACGGAGGGCTCAAGTTTGCCCCCCAACGGTTTTGGATGCAGCTCACCCCGTTCATGCGTCATATACCCCATCATAAAATCGAGCCAGCCCCAACGCGTGCTTCGCTGGGCGAACCCACCAACGACGCGCTCGGCGACTCGGTCCCCGCTCTGTAGGGACGCGGGGGGTAATGGTCCGAAGGAGCCAGCCGTTGGCCGCACAGCCACTCGTCAGAATAGCGGGCCTGTCAGTCGACATCATGTCGCCCGGCGTGTCGTTGAACAGTTGGCCAATGCGCGACACTCGCGCTTGCAGACCACGACAACAAGCCTAGCCGTCAGCGCGTCCCTCGAAAGCTGTTCTTTGGCCGTCGAAACGCCCGCAACAGGCTTGGGGGTACTCGTCACCATTTACCAATGGTTAGATGGTGCTATCGGTGACAGTAAAATGGGTCCTCGTCCCCAGGTTTAGAGCCGTCGCATCATCTCTGAGAACTCGTCGAAGCTAATCTGCCCATCGTGGTCCATGTCGATGTCTTCAAGCATTGTCCGTGCGCAGTCCTCGGATCCCAACGCCTGTTGCCGTAGGAATGAGATGTTGACGGTGAGGATGACACATCTGCCGCATGGATATTCATATCGTTGAACATTCCCTTTGACCCAAGAGGGAATGAAGGCTGACAAATACTCATCGGGGTGGTGGCCATTCTCTCGTTCTGAAGTTGACAGTTTGTAAGCCTGGAGGTCCTTTTGTGGCACAAGTCCTGGCAAGCCATGTTTTAATAAGTCAAACGCGTGTTGACGCGGTGACACAGTACAGCCGATTTTTCCTCGTGTGCACCACAGGGCTGGTCAACACGGAGACCGCACTCTCGACGCGTGAGATGCAAGAGCCTTGGCACTCCAGACGTGCTTCCGCTGTCGGGATACGCTCTCGGCAGGCAGACAACATGAAACAAGCAAACGACAGAACATCCTCCGCAAGAAGTACACGTTTGAAGGACAGCAACGGCCGAGTCCTAAAAGCACAGAGACAACACCATAGCATACTAGCCACATACCTTCGGGAAACCTTCGGGGGTACTGGAAACAGGGAGGGGTGGTTTGCCCAAATGATGCGTAAGGATGCTACGGGCCCAGCATGACGAATAGGCCAAACGTGAACCGAAGGTGGGCAAACAAGTACCCTACCTAGCCCAACATCCTAATGTTTCGTTTCCGACACAGGAATTCTACGAGTGGTGGCAGGAGAGTCAACTTTGATCGTGGAAGAGTCAACTAGTTGCATCGGTGGCATGGCGCAAGATCGATACGGAGTTTGATATCTCACCTCCATCAGGTCTGATTTGTTGATGCTTCCCGTCCCCTGCAAATCGAAGTGGTCGAAGGCCTTTCTCAAGTTTTCTCGACGAAGAAAGATTCCCTGGGAGCAGCAGAACAGTACGGTTTGGTTTTGCCTTCGGTTAAACCGAGGGTGCGGCTAGCCATCCCAGCCGCGCCTTGCTGCAGGCGTTGTGCGCAGTGACGGGCACGGAAGGTTGATGCGGAACGCTCGTTGTGCACGGCTTCCCGCAAGAGCGGGGGTGGGAACTCCTTACATTCTAGTACTCCAGGAACGCAACAACCTGGTCTAGATGTAGAATGGCAGTGACGGTAGAAGATGATTGGCCGGACTGACCCCTCCCTCTCCCGCATGCAAGCGTTGGCCGGAAGCGCGAACTCGCGTAAGGCAGTGCGCAGGGATGGAATGAAGCTAATACCAAGGAAATATCAACATCGGGTCGTTTGTTGTGGGTGGATGTACTTGAGGTTTCCAAGCCCTCGATGCTGCATCTCGTACGAGGTACAGTCCACATCATGAGGACCCGACAAGAACAGGTTTCTTTCTCGCCATGTGATTGGGTGTGCTACGTCATTACATGAATCTACCGTTTTGTGGGTTTTCGAGAACACCGGAGCCGCTTGTGAAGTGTCGATATCCATGTTCTGCGCCCCACTCCCACTATCTACCACAACAACACAATCAATCGCTACCAGCTCCTACCGCCGCTGCTTCTCTCGTTACTACTCCAACTACGGCGGCGTACCTTTTCCATCGTGGCAGCAAGGAAATTTCGGTAGTCCAATTTCTTGTCCATGGAGTTGAGCAACTCCAGCACCTCTGCCTGCATCCCCACCATTCCTTCCGAAGCAATCACCTGTTGATGACATCATCACAGGAGGCGAGGGAAACGGAGAGAGGGGGGGCGGGAAGAACATTTGAAGTAATCACAAACAGAAGCAATAAATGTTCCAGAGAACATGACTTCAGCAATTGTGGCGAACTTAGGAGTGCCGCGGCCGATGGGTGGTATCGTTACTCCCGGCCCCGTCGGAACAGCCAAGAAATGAGCACGCGTCTGTGCGGATTTTCTTCGAAAGTGGTAAATGTTTCGAGAAGCTGAAACGACGGTTACCGTGGAAGTACCTTCTCAATCTTTCGGGATAGATGCAATTTCTAGCAGATGCTGGATAGGGCTCCGGCAAATTCTCTGTATACAGTAAACTAAACAGCTGCAACAACCATGCGACGACGACCACAACAACAATCATAACGACCACAAACAGCAACAGCAGTATGAGGAAGAAACGCAAAAGCAACGACACCGGTTGCGAGGACAACCGCCAGCACTGCCACCACACTACCAAACAATCTCAAGAACAACAAGGCCTCCTACTGTGTATGGTCTCAAGAGGAGCGCCAAGTGGAGTCCCTTCACTTGAACCGATGAGAGGCACCTTCCTAGAAGTTCTATTATAGTCAAAATCTCTACCGAAGGAAACGCATGTGACAGACAGTCAACGAACCATGTTCGATCGGAGGGGCTCACTCAAGCGCGACGTAAGGATGATAGATAATTGAGACAAAAAAAAAAACGTTACAGTAGGAAATAGCATCACCTGCTGGAGCTCGTCCACCGTGATTTCTCCATCCCCGTTCAAATCCAAAGAGTTGAAAACCTTGCGAAGGTGACCCTCATCCGCGCCCCCAACATCCTGCCGCAGACAAGCAGCAGGCATGCGCAGACGGTGTTGGTGTGAAAGGTATCTATCGGCCAGTAGTATCCATAGCAGCATCTACGTGCAGATTGTGTTGGTGTGGAGGTGTCTGGCTAGTCCCTAGCACTGCATAGCACAGCAGCAGCACACCTTCGACGAAAACATGAGTAGTAGTGGACGAATACGAATGTGGCCAAAGCAGAGCCATACACCATCGTTGGCGCAGTGCAAGACTAGTCGTGGGAGGGTTTCCCACGGGTGGATTGATGGGTGCTCCTACCGATCTTACCTCTGCGATGACGTTGAGGGCGATCTTCTTGAGGGCATTGGCGCCGGCAAACCTTCGCAGCCGATGGTTCAATCGTAATGCGCTATCCCGCAACGTTTGAGCCGCCGCATCGCCGCTCATTACCTGAAGAAAAGCAAAGAAACACCTTACGCTTGACATGAAAAGAGAGTACTCGCCCCAAAAAACTCGAAATAAACGAATCGCTGCCCTAGGAAGACCCAACCCAAAAGCCATGAAACCATGGTCGGGCAAGAGAGGCAGATTCCATAGCTTCAACTGGAAGCTCGAAGCTGAGATAACAATAGATAACAATGGTACCTATGAGAGGCGATGATGGTTAAATACTCCTTCAATTTTCAAAAACCGTCATACACGTCATCCTGCCCAGACCAAGCACGAGAGGCAATGCACTAGACACAGAACACGGCGCCTGCAGAGCTGCCTCGTCACCGTATTCGCGCGGCAAAACAGATTCGCGCCGCACGCCTCCTCTGGTCACCTTTTCGAACCACGGGTGGACGAGCGCCTGACTTGCGGTCAGACGTGCCGTGGGGTCCTTGACGAGCAGCTTCCTGATGAGGTCCCTGAAAGGACACGCACGGTACGGTTGATCGGTCACACAAGCGCGGGGAACGCTGTCCGTGGTTTCGACATCCACCAGCACACTTAGTATCTGGCTACTGCTGCAGCAAACGTGTAAGAATGTTCGTCACAGGATCCTTTCGTCGGAGACCTCGTCTGATACTTCGTCCAAGACTGAGATTTCGTCGGAGATTTCGTCGGAGATCTCGTCGGAGATTGTTCGTTGGCGATCTCATCGGAGACTTGGTAGAAATCGTCCGAGAATCGCCGGAGGATGAGATTTCGTCGGAGACTGCGTCGGACACTTCGTCGGACACCTTTTCGGGTCGCCACGTCCATTTTCGAGAGAGATCCGGTACGTCGGACGTTGCTCATTGTCTTGTGCTCTTCCCGCCCCCGGGCTAAGGCCCTATTCGCAGCTTTGCGGTGCCACAGATGAGACCAGCACCATTTCCGCGACAACGCATGCCTTCGAAGCAGCACACGAAGGTTGCGTCTAAATCCTCGAATCCGACTCTCGGTTCATGATATGTTGAGTTCCTCCTAACGCTAGAAAAGGCGGAAATCCGACGGACGACTTTTGGTTCTACTTCTGCACCCTCATCGTCGCACGGTAGGACAGAAGTCCCCTTCTCACTTGGCGTCGTCGGACACGCTATCCCACTCGGGGCTGAGGAAGCGGTAGTCGACACGCTGCACGGCTTTGAAGATCTCGGCGTCGTTGGCGCCATGGAAGGGTGGGTAACCGCACAGGAGGATGAACATGATCACCCCGATGGACCACAGGTCGCAGGCCTTGTCGTACTTCTTGGACAGAACTACGGTGCCAAAAACAAAACAAAAATAGGCAAAATATTAACATTGCACAAGGTCATGGTAGTGGTGGGGCTTCGCGACCCACCGCTGCAAGCTGCATGGGTGCACTCGCCGCCCCAGCCACACGCGGGAAGCATGCAAGACAAAGGGAAGCCAAGAGCGCTACATGCATCCGAGCAAAAAGTGGGTGACACACCAAACGGGTGGTACATACCCGTGTCAAAAGCTGGGTCAAACAACTTGATGGTCCGCAGAGACCAGCGTGCGGCACACGCGTACTGGCAAATACATAGAAGCAAAACTCGGGGCGGGGTGGGCACGGTCGGACTCTGCTTCCGACCACGGCGTAAAAAAGGTAAGCTAAAAGGGCATATTGTGGGCTGGTACCATTGTGTGCGTACAGTCACAGGCTTGTTTCTGCCACAGCTACAACGCCAAGGGAGACGAACATGTAAAAAATTACTTGCCACAGCTACAATGTCAAAGGAGACAAACGTGAAACACTACTCGATAGTTGCAACCGCCGTCCGATTGTTTGTGAGGCAGATGACCGTCCAGACACCCAATGGAAAAGATAGATGAAACGTTTTTCGCGGGGCTGGGGGGCTAGATCAGGATCATATTGGCGTCACGGGCTTATGCACGCGTGCGCACATCCGGATATATTCATGCGTTGGTGCTCTGGATATTTCGGACCGTTGGAATCTATGTCACCTCTGCTAGGTAGTTGTGCGACTTATGGTGCTGAAAGAAAGTCGACCACCATGAGACGGCAACAACAGGGAAAAGCGCGGCTACTAGCTGGCAGGTTGAAGAACAGGCACAGCAGCTTCGAAAGCATACGTGCGTTCGCTGTGTACAGTGTGATGTGGGCAGTACTGCGTGGGACGCGTTCGAACTTAGCCTAGGGCACGAGCTTCGAGCTTTGCTTCGGGAATTCTGACTAGCCGACCTTCGGGCGCAATGTAGTACGGCGTCCCAACCCTGGTTGTCATCGCCTCGGACCCGTCCTCAAACCTGGACAGACCGAAGTCGATAATCTTCAGATCGGCCTATTCAGTACAGCACGATGCGGTTCCACAAGCACGGTTTGGGTGGTTAAAGGCATGTTCGGTGCAGCTGGTTGGATCGAGCATCTATGCCCGTTCGAGAGGATTGGTGTGTGCCATTGAAATGTGCGTAGTTATCCAACACACGCATGACATTTCATGCAGCAGTAGTGACGCGATGATACTGTAAACAATGGCACAGAGTTACGGTGCCTGAGGCACGGTCACTTGAAATTCGTCGCAACCGCCAAGTAGCCACAGCAGTGTCGACAAAACGGTGTGTCTCGGTCGGTCTAATGCGGTGCACCAAGCGCACCGACCTAGCGTGAGGTCGTCTCGAGGACGTCAAGGCTCCCGCAGTGACAGAGCGATCACTCACACCCTGGTTGTGTAGCCGGTAGCTGGGGGGGGGGGGGGGGACTCCTAATCGTGGATGCCGTAATCGTTAGAACATTGACCTCCCATCCCTACAAAACCGAGACGGAGCACGCCGGGTTCTCACCGGACCAGGCTCTCACATCACCAAGCGCGAAGCGCCGTGAGGTATTCGGCGAGTCGCACGAAGGGTGCGCTGCATCCTGCTAACGGTGTTCGGCATCTTGTGCTTACTTCCTTGCGTACGAATGACAGCTGCGTATGACATAATTTATTTTCTGGTGCTTTCACTTCCGGAGACAGTTGTAAGCACTGCTGTGTAACTGCCTCGAGGGTGTTTGACCATTTTAACACAACGTGGTGCGATCATCCCCCTTGCGCGGAGTGAGGCTTCTCAACCCCGCACAACATGATCTACTCGACCACCATTATGGTCACCGTAAAAAAAAAAACAGAGGTAAAAAAAAAACGGTAACCTGGTTGCCGAGTTCACGAAGTGAATTGGCTTATTTTACAACGTCGTTGCCAAGCGACGAAAACCCAATCCCGATGGCAAACACCGGGGGGGTGGGGGGGTTTGTTTTACAACGTCGTTGCCAAGCGACGAAAACCCAACCTCGATGGCAAAACACACGGGGGGGGCGGCTTGTTTTACAACGTCGCTGCCAAGCGACGAAAACCCAACCCCGATGGCAAACACCGGGGGCGGGGGAGCTGGGGGGGGGGGAAATCGGGTTAAGCTCAAATTTCGATCGTGTCCTGTCCAAGGAATTCCACTTGTACTGTACGTGCGGTAATCAACAGTGACATCGGTGTGAAAACACCTGTAGAAATTTGAAGAGGGAAGCGAAAACGTAGTGCAAGCCATCCAGGGAAGAACACTCTTTGGCTTGCTATGGATCCCTTTACCCCCCCCGGTAAGGGATTGCTTTGTAACGTATCATTTTGACAGAGGCAAAACGGTGTCACACTTGGTCACTGAGTAAATTTAGAAAGAAAACACATGCGAACCTGGTCGTCCTTCGTCTTGAACAGGAAGTTCTCTGGCTTGAGATCTCGATGGCATATGTTGTGCTCGTTGTGGCAATACTCGATCGCCCTGTGGCGCCACCCAAAACGCACGGTAGCACGCAACAAGCGCCATCGGGCGTCTTCTTTCAGGTACCAACGCTCGACCAATGAAGCAATGAAAGTGCAGTGCAAATGAAGCAATGCTCATGAGCTTCCACAGGTACTCTCTCTCAAGCACAATGGCTTGTGGGCAACACACCCTACCTAACCCGGCAAGCACAACGGGAGGGGCTCTCTGTGAGATTAGGTGTTTTCGCCTTAGAATAATATCCGAATGGGGAGAATTAGTGTATAAATAATGGACATCGCCCAGAAGGCCGTGTCAGAAATAGATAGACATAGGTAGCGCTATAACAGACGAAGAGAGTACCTCAAGGCGATGCCTAGGGGATCAACTCCCGGTCGGGAACACCATATTGTAGGAAACAAGGCGGTTAACGGTATTTATTCCCTCTACTGTACTGCATCTGCCCAAAATCTCTCGTTCATACCCAATGATCTTGATAACGATGTTGGCAGCATCCCGTTCGCTGTAGTGGCCCTCCTGCGACTCCGTCTTCAGAATTATCCGATCGAACAGTTCCCCCCCCGTGCACAGTTCAGTCACCTGGGAAATAACGACCATCACACGAGAGTTCCTCAATCGAGCCGCCCTTGGCTTTTCAGGAGCACGAGTTGATCATGAATTGGCAGCCTGCTCGATACTTGAGCAAGGTAACTCGCGCGCTGTCGTATGAAGCTTTAGCTAGACCCAGCCTACGGAGTAGAAAGAAAGCCCCACCATCTGTACACGGCTATATACCAGCCAGCGTGAAACACGCGTGATGAACGGTTGTCGCCAGTTATGAAAAAGGCAATTTGTTCTGAACCATACTCTTGCTTGATTACTCGTGAGATTCGAGCCCGGTATTACGTTATGTCTCTGAAAGCTAAATGTTGCTACCTCTCGACACTCCTCGCGCCGTTCTCGTAGCCACAAGTACTTCAAACTTTCCGGCATGGAAATGCACGTTTGTTCTTGTTCCCCATTGTCTCCAACGAGTAAAGTTGCATCGGTGTGCTACTCTGCACCATCAAAGGGTGCGGCTGCAAACATTTTCGCCGTTCAGCCTACAGTCCAGTCCCCTTTTTTTTTTCTCACTAGATGCAAATTGACGTCGTCTTCGTAGACATCCTCGAGCCGAATCAAAGTAGGGTGGTCCACCGCCCGGAGGATTTCGATCTCTCTCTTCAGCAGAACCAATCGAGGCACCTGCGCGTGAAGGCGAATCGGAATTGTTATTTCACCGCGCTTCGTAGCGTCGAAGCGCTGTGGCTATGCGTGGTACAGCACAGTTGGTTTGCTATACTGCCGCGCAGCGTTTGAGATATGATCTGGCTACGATGCTACATACGTGTCCATCTCGACTTCGAGGCTCACAAGTGAGTTGGTGCGTGTTGCAGCGGCGGAAGGGAGGAGGACACCAAGGGGTAACAAAGGGCTTACTTTGTTTCTTCGAACACACGTTCGGTCGGTGTAAACCATCGACCGTGCTGACTGCCGAGGAATAGACTACATATGTGTTACTGCAACGTCAGCAACCCCCTCGGTAGTCATGATGCTGCGGCACGGCATCTCACCTGCCGAAAGGGATACCAATCTATTCGGCAGGCGACTTGGCACTGGAACCACGTTCAAGTGTTTCCGTCAGCGTTGGGTGTGACCGTGTGCTCGAGGAATTATGGAATGATGGACGAGGCCTACATACTGCTGGTAGGAGATCTCTCCCCTACTGCTGCTGAAGGTCGGGTTCAACGCGAGCGGATACGCTCATCCTAGAGTGCGCTTTGTCAATGACTCGCGCCAGAATACTATTTTACGACAGAGAAGCACCAACCCTGCGTATATCCCACCTTGCTCTTCTTGATGGTTTTAATGGCGAACTCTTCTCCAGTAGCTGTTGATCACCGTAGCGAAACAAGCAAAAGGAAGACAAATGATCTCATACCGGGGGGTGCAGAGGGGACAAGAATGGGTTTCGCCGTAGCTGTGATTTCCGCGACGTTGCCGTTGTCATGCATGCACTGCCCACAACCGCCCGTTGTCCGAAGCCGAAACAGTGCCTCTTACAACGGACATGTGCATCGCAATGATGCTTGCCACGCAGCTGGTCTCCTTAACGGATCAAACAATGAAACACGACTCATCAGCATCTACCCTCGACGGTTAATCGCGGAACTAGACCATCCGACTAGTCAACGTTGACTCAGTGGTCTAATGGTTAAAGCGTTCTTACACAAGGTTCCACGCACGGGTTCGAATCCCAATCGGTCCACTTACACAAGAATCACCATTTGATTACCAAACAGCGGCGTCTGGCGAGGGGTCCGTCCCCGGAGATCTCTACGCTCAATCCCAGTGATTAAGCTTCTAACAGCCTCAAGCCCATGTGATCCGGCCGGGTGCTAACGAGCTCAGCGCATATCTTTTAATCGCGGAACTAGACCATCCGGCTAGTCAGCCGCTGACTAGTCGGATGGTCTAGTTCAGCGA